GACTGAGAACCCTTATCACAACGAGCCCGGCTTCGAGCAGGTGAGACTTGGAGCTGGAGCTTCCCTCCACACCTCGCTCCTGGTGGCAAATCCCATGCTGGAATTGGGATCAGAAGGAGGTGAGGTGGCTTGGCTCTTTCCCAGCTCGAGCTGGAGGGGGAGTACAAGCCAGCTCTGAACCAGAGGCTGCTGAGCTCACCTGAGTGTGAGGGAAGGGAAGAACATGAGTTGCTGGGGACATGGGATGGCTCTTCCTTTCCCTGCTACACCACTCCTGGAATGGCTTCCCTGGGCCATATTGTCCTGCAGGAACCAAACTGCTCAGGTTTTCCTGGTCTCCTGGAGGGGGGCAGCTTTCTGTGCCAACTTTTTCACTGCATTTGTCTCCACACCGTGCGAGTCCAGGGCTCTGGGGGCACATCAGACCCTGCCAGCTCTTCCTGTGCTGTGTGAATCAGCTCAGCAACACAGAGCTGTTGGGGGTTCATGCACCAGTGCAGCTTGGCAGGCCCAGGAGGGAGAGATGAAGAGCCACTGCAGAGGTTTGGACTCACTGGCCCGAATTGTGTTGGCAGGAGAGGCACCCTGGGGACAGCAAGAACTACAACGAGTGCATTCGGCACGAGACCATCCGGGTGGCAGTGTGTGACATGCTGGAAGGGAAGTGTCCCTGTCCCGAGCCTTTGAGGTATGGAAGAGAGCAGAAATGGGGGGGGAAGCAGGATAAACTGTTCCTGAGATCCTGGGAGCTGCTCTGCCTGGCCCAGCCAAGGTTTTGCCCCCCTGCAGTGAGTGGCTGGTCCGGGTGGTGCCCAGGAGCTGTGCCAGGACAAAGGCCTGTTACTGAGCACAATGGCTGCGTCCTCTGGCTTGGGTTTGGGAATAAACGGGCCTTGTCCTCTGGGGAAAAAAAATCCTGGAGGGAGGAGGGCACAGCTGTTGTGGAAACACGTGCAGCATCCCTTCAGCTGCAGGGCTCTGCAGTTCCTTGGCTCTGTCCTGCCTGTCTGTGCCCTCTGAGGGACACACACAGGCTGTCCCAGACAACTCCAGGAACTGGAACTAGTGGGATGGGGTGACCCTGGGGGATGTGACTGTTGTTGTGTTGATTGTTTGCCCTCTGCTTGCGTTCAGGGGTGTCATGGAGAAGTCCTTCATGGAATACTACGACTTCTACGAAGGGGTGTGTAAAGAGAGGCTGTATCTCCAAGGACAAACCATGCAGGTGAGTGCCAGCCAGTTCCCCTGGTGACAAGGGTCTGTGGTTGGTGACAGAGCACAGTGTGCAGCACCAGAGGTGGATCTGGGAGATCTGTACTCCAGCTTTGAACCAGCCACGGAACTGAGACCTGAGGGGTTGCTGTGGGTGCAGCACTGCCATCCCCAAATGCAGAGGGCACACACAAAATATCTCCCAGGCTGTCAGGTTTCTGAGGGCTGGGCCTGAGACGCTCTCCAGGCAAGCAGGTGCTGCTTTCAGCCCTGGCAGTGGCACAGTTTGCTCTCCCCTGGTGCAGTTTGCTTTCACATCCGGGTTATCCAGTGCTGGTGGCAGCTGAACTCCAGTGCAGCCTTTTCCTCCTGGGTCACTGGTAGAGTTTCTCTTTTTCTGAGGCTCCTTTGCTCAGACAGCAGATGAGACCTTCTCTCTGCCACTCCTTGTTCTGTCAGAGGAGGTGGCTGAGGGAGGAACAGGGACGATACAACAGACACATCCAGACAGGTGGAATCCAGGAGCTCCTTTCTGCAGGGAAGGAGACTTTACAGACCACATTGCCAAGCTGTTTGCATATGAACAGATGTGTCTTCCTCCCTCATCCACCACCTCTCCTCTGACTCACTGAGAAATCCCACTGCTAGGGAAAGATGGAGGTGGTTGATTTAATGGTCTCGTGTCTCCGAGCCCTTTTTTTTCCTCTCAGTGCTGTGTAATTCATAAATTGGAAGCGCTCCCGAAGCAGGAGAGTTATGTTTGGAGTGAGAAATTCCCCTGAGGAGTGCCTGTGCTCGACTTAGAGCTGCAGGGAGTAGTGAACTGAGGGTGTGGTGCAGTTTGGTGACATGAGGGTTGTCTGGTGTGGCCCCCTCTGGTTTCTCCTTGCGGGAGCTCAGTGCTCTCCCCAGGCTTTGAGAGGATCACTGAGTTGTGCTCAGTTCCCAGAGGGGATGGTGCCATGCCTGGTTTTCTGCTCACTTGTAAACAGTAGCACAGGAAGCCTGAAAACAAGGTGCTGGAGAGATGATATCATTGTTTTCATGAGTATTTGAAATGAAGTCACCCCAGGCTCAGTATCAGTTGAGTCCTTGCCAGATGTGCTGTTTTGTTAATTCTGGGGCCACATGTTGGCTTGTACCAAAGATTCCCATCAGATAGGACAGCACAAACCCCACCAGCACCTCATCTAACCCTGGCAACGTGTCTTTGACCTGGGATGGGCATAAAAGCAGCAAATGTTAAATAACCTTCAAAGACTTCGTGCCCCTGACTTGGCTACAGCTCAGCTGGGGCCTTGATTTTGGGTGGGAATGGTGATGCCTTTCATTTGGATGGGCTCTGTAGCACTAATTTGACATGTGGTGAAGTCTTTGGCCTCTGGATTTTAGAGACTTAGGTTTGTGATGTTTTCCCTGGACCAAATCTTTGAGACAATCTCCTTCCCCGAGGCTGGCAGTCGAAATCCAGCCCGTGTCTGCTCGGCCTTTCGTCTGGTTTGAAGTTTTGCTCGGGTTTGTAACGCTCCCCAAACAGAAAATGTGAAAAAAATCCATAAAAATAATCAAAAAATATTAAAACATCATCACCTCTGCCACCACAGGGAGGTGATGGGATGGGGTTTGACCCTGAATTCTTGGACTGTTCACACACAGTTATTACACAGCTGGAACAGCCCTTGCCAGAGGGCTGATGGGCTGTGTTAACAGGCTCATCCCTGCTTTTCTTTCAGGATCCTTTCGGTGAAAAGGACAGTTTTTATGCACAGTTATTACACAGCTGGAACAGCCCTTGCCAGAGGGACGATGGGCTGTGTTTACTGGCTCATCCCTGCTTTTCTTTCAGGATCCTTTCGGTGAAAAGCGAGGCCACTTTGACTACCAGTCCCTGCTGGTGCGTTTGCAGGGGATCCGGCAGAAGGTGCAGGAGAAGCACCAGCAGGAGCCCCCGGAGCTGGACTCTGAGAGCAGCTCCTCCGAGACAGAGACGGACCCGCAGGGCTGCTCCAAAGCTTAGAGCGGGGGCTGCTCTGCCCACAGCCCCGACAGACTCCACACCCCCCCACTGCCAGAGCAGGAACACGGGGACCCCCTGCCTCCCTCCCTGCTCTGGGGAAACGCTGACTGAGGGGACTCCACGCTCGCCCAAGCCCAGCTGGTGCCAGGCTCCTCCCGAAGGTACTCCCTGCGCTAGAAAAGCCGGAGCGTGTGGCGTCAGGTTATTTTTTTTTTTTGGAAACACCTACACTGGTTGTTTGAGGTTTTTTTTTTGTTTTGTTTTGTTTTTTTTTTTTTTTTTTTTTT